ATGTAAAAATAAACTTATAAAAAAATAAAAACATATAATAATAAAAAAAAAGAGTTATCTATTCCTTCAGCTGGCTCTGGGTGTTAGAATTTGGAATACCTCCAAAATGTTACTAAATTGGTTTTTCACAGGGTAGCTACGTCAATTCATTTCAAATGAGTTCCCTGATCACACATAATGTAAGTCAAAATGAAAACATCAAAAATAAAAAAGTGACTTAATTTCAATATCTCTTATTTTGTTTAAAGAAATAGCAATCTTTATTTCTAAGATCATTCAGACAGTAAAATAAAACTCCCTGATGGCACAAGGAGTTAAACAGCACTATGTGCCCGTCTGCTCCTCTCAGCAGTCAATTTGCCTGTTTTGTATTCCACCCTATCTCTGATGAAGTCTCTGACCCCACCCACAAAGTTCTTGTGTGCATAAATAAAGAAAACTTTAAAAGATTTAAAAACATTTCTAGTCACACATCTTTTTTCTAAAATTAAGTTCTCTTGAAAATTCAAAATTTGGATGTAGCCACCATTATCGCATTAATAAATATCTCTAGCTTTGGGTAAGTAAGTTAAAATTTTAGAACCTGGGCCTTTCCTGGTGACACAACAGGTTAGGATGAGTGAGCACTGCAAGCTGCCTGCAGCTGCCCCAGAGGTGATCCACATGGCACAGCAGACCTCTCTAGACCCGCCCGCAGCTCCCCTCAGCAGTGCACTCCATCAAGCTGCCTGTTCTGCTCCCTGCTCTGTTTCTGGTGAATTCTCTCACCGCCCCTGCATCTCTGTTCTGTACCTCAGTTCTCTATACATAAATAAATAAAATCTTAAAAAACATTTTAGAAAATGTTTCTTCCAAAAAATGAGAGAATATTTGTTTTGCCCACTTGCTAGGGTTGCTGTGATAAAACTAGAATATGAAGTTGAAAGCACTTACAAATAAAAATTACATCCATATAATCGGTAAACATTTATATTAATCTGATACCAATTTACAAAACAATTACTACATTATTAAATTCTTCTGATGATGGCTACCAAAATACTTTATCCCTGCTCCTTGTTCTCCCCACTAATATACACAACCAACAATTGATGATAAAAGAGCTATAGCTTTATGTGTTATTACAGACATCTGTTAGTAAGGTAATATATACATACTGAAATAATATTTTCCTTCTGAGATAAACAGCTAAAAATATTATGAGATATTTAATTTTAAAGTGTATTTGAAAGTTCATACTTGCACACGACACACTGTCTATGAAGTTGGAGAGCAGTGAACATGACAATAACGGAGTAGTTTCTTGGTGGGGCTTTAACAAGGCGACGAAACTTGTCTCCATTCAGTCTTATTACAGGTCTTTTATTGGTCCATTCCATCAGCTGACTAACCTTTTCAGATAACACCATCTGAAAAAGACAAAAGTAGCATATTGTTAATACTCTCAAATTGGCATTTAAAATTCTTTTTAAGTAACTTAAAACCTAGACTAATAAGCAGAGGTACATAGAAAATATTAAAGTCCTAAAAAAAGTTTGTTAGCTGGACCTGATAACAATTATTCTCAAAATTATTTTATTTCTTGTTAAGATTTAGATAGTATAATATCTAATATTAGATATTATGCTTTTGCTATAAATTATTATTCACTAATAAAAATAATAATATAAGTCACAAAGCCATTCATTTGTCAAAAGATTCCAAAGAATGTTGAGTTAAAACAACTGGCTAGTTTGGGACTCCCTGGTGGCACAGGGGTTTAAGTCTCAGTACTACAAAGCTATTGCCAGCCACTGACAATCACCAGCCACAGCAGCGTGAGTTCAAGCCCAGGCCAGAGAGCTGACCCACATGGTGCAGCAGAACTCTCCTGTCTTGCCCACTGCTCCCCTCTGTAGTGTATTTCACTCAATCTGCCTGTTCTGCTTCCCACTCTGGTGAATTCTCTTACCCTGGCAACTATGGCCAATATGTCAGTTCTTGCATGTATAAATACATAAAAATCTAAAATAAATATATAAAATTATTTTAAAAAACCACAGATATCAGTAATGCAAATGACTGCTTCATACATAGAGTAAGAAAAGTAATCCCTAGAAATATTAAGAATAACTTCTGCGATTTAGTCATCCTGACAAAATTCTCAAAGAATGCATGTCTAGGGCTCCCCTTGGTGGCACATGGCTTAAAGTGCAGCACCATGAAGCAATTTGCAGCCACTGTAGCACAAGTTCCATCCATCCCCAACCAGGGAGGAGATACACATGGTAAGGCAGACCTTTCTTGACCTGCCTGCTGCTCACTTCAGCAGTGCATTTCATTAGATCTGACTGTTATGCTCCCCACTCTATCTGGTGAATCCTCTCACCACCCCTCTCCCACACCACTGGCCTACACCCTAATTCTTGTATGCAGAAATAAATAAATCTTTTTAAAAAACTTTTTAAAAATAGTATGGAGGACCTCCCTGGTGGCACAAGGGGTTAGGATGCAGCACTGCAAGTCAGCTGCAGATGTTTCAATGTGAATTCGATCCCCGGCCCCGGAGGTGATCCACATGGCATGGCAGACCTCTCCTGACCAACCCACTGCTCCCCACGCTGTTTCTGGTGAAGCTTCTTACTACCCCTGTACCTATGGCCTGTACCCCAGTTCTGTGTACATAAATAAATTTAAAATAAAATAAAAATAAACTTAAAAAAGAGTATCGAATATTTGACTTAAATTAAAACCACAGAGATTAAACTCATTTAGTTTTCAACTAATGAATTATTATTTGATAAAGCCTTAATGATTCTAAGAGCTCATAGAAAATAACATCATTTTGCAGTTTAACAATATGTATTCTATATTTTATGCATTTCAACTCTAATTTTGTTATATATTTTCAAATGAAATTTTAATAGCTGGCAGTTCTTCATATTTGCATAGAAGAACTAGAGTGCAGGCCAGCAGTGTGGCAGGGTTGGAAGAGAGGATTCACCAAAGACATAGTGGGGAACAGAGGAGGTGGATTTACTGCTGAGGGGTGCAGTGGGCGAAATAGTAGAGGTCTGCATCATGTGTGGGTCACCTTCCTGGCTCAGGCCACAGTGGTAATAGTACTGAGACTTAAACAGGGAGGTTCTCAAGTGAAATTTGATAGTTACTAGTAAAAAGTATTGAAATATTTTTACATTGTCTCTATTTCATCACATCAGTACATGAGCATTCCAACAAAATAAGGATCTTCTCTGAATTAACTATAAATATGTAGTCTCACTTTCCCAAATGGACAGATACATAAAAGGTTTTATTAATCCTCTCATGAAAAATCTGCACAATCACCTGAGACAGATAAACTTCCTGCATAATCATCTTTACTCCTATTGTCCAAACTCCAGCTAACTGCTCGACACTTCATTTCTTTTTCCCAGCACTAACACTGGCCTTTGAAGCCTCCCTAACTTTCTTCATTCTGTTCTTGTGTTCCTTTCACTGTTTTCTTAAGGTCTTTTTCTTCTTACACTTTTTTCTTAAGGTCTTTTCTTCTTTCACTGTTTTCTTAAGGTCTTTTTCTTCTTACACTTTTTTCTGAAGGTCTTTTCTTCTTTCACTGTTTTCTTAAGGTCTTTTTCTTCTTATGTCTTGCAAGACTATATTTGGGTTAATTTTTCTTTGTAATCTGAGGAAAGAATCATAAATCATGCCAAAGTCATGAATCTTACCACCTCCAAAACGGGTTCTGAATCCAAATACAAAGAAGACATTGGGGGTGACACTGCACAATTTAGTTTTCCCAAATGTCTGTGTTGCCTTTCCAGGGTGAAGGAAGTCAGTAACTATTTGTTTCCACTGATGCATAGTGGTTGGTAGTGAATTTACAGGTCTGGAATGTTACTATGTTATTCATGATGGCAATGGATCGCCAAGAAATCAGGGAGGAAAAGCCAGGAAATCAGGGAGGAAAAGACTGCCAGAGTCTTCTTAAACAAAATGTCTTGAGTAGACTTTTCCAACCAAGTCTATGTAAATATCTGTAAGATTCCTCTTGCTGTTAATTAACAGACTGGAAATATCAGATTTCTGGTCACTCTGTACACAAACTATTATATAGAAGAAATTAATTCAAAGGATACACATATTCTCTTTAAAATTCTTATAAAATGGGATTATCATCCCCCAAAAGACCGCTTAATACAAAGGCAATTAGGTTACTCTCTAGGCCAGAGACAGAATGGAGAGCGGAATAGGTGGATTTATTAAAGTTACACTGCTAAGGGGAGCAGTATATGAGACAGGCAAGGTCTGCTGCAGCATGAGGGTTAGCTCCCCAGGCCAGGATTGAATTCAGACCCTAATGGTGACAGAGAGGAGACTTAACTCCTACGCCACTAGGGAGGCCCTAAGAAAACATTCTCTACCCTAAATTTTTTTTTAAAGATTTATTTATTTATTTGTACAGAACTGGGGTACAGGCCAGAGATGCAGAGGGTGAGAGGATTCACCAGAGACAAGGCGGGGTACAGAACAGGCAGATTGACGAAGTACACTGCTGAGGGGAGCAGCGGGCGGGTCAGGAGAGGTCTGCCATGCCATGTGGATCTCCTCAGGGGCAGGCGGGGATCGAACTCATGCGGAGATCAAACTCATGCAGAAGTGGTTTAAGCTTCCTTGTGCTGTGCTTTAACCCGCTGCGCCACCAGGGAGGGCCCTAAATTTTTTTATGCCATAAAAGAGCACAATCTTATTTTACTTTCTGATCTTCACCTACTGTCTACTACGTGTCGGGTGCTTACCTTAGACACAGCACTCATTTAATTTCCGTAATAGGTAAAGATACAAGTAAGGTAAAGATACAAGGGAAATGAGAGTAATATGCTAAAGATCACTTCAATTGCATATTCTCTTTAAAATTTCACAATTTTTTCCCCTGGAAATTGACAAAATGAACAAAAACCTATCTGCCATTCTAACATTATTATAAACATTTTCATTATGCTTTAGTGTACTTTGTGATATCATCCCTTTTCTTATTTTATATTATTTCTCTATGCACAGATTCCCAGAAATAGATGTAGAAATATGGTAATTTTCTCAAAGACCATGCTTTTTCATCTTTATCATGCTGCCTCCCTAAAGTAACAGCATAGATTTTTGAGCATAGATTTTATATCAGACCAGAGACACACTTACAGCTCAACTTCAGGAGCTCTGTTTCTTTTGGGCACACACCCAAACTCTCTTACTCAGCATCAGTTCCCTCATCTTTTCAATATGGATAATGCTCTGCAGGGCTACTGTGAAGATTATAGATCGCGCACGTAAACTATAGTGTCTAGCTTGTAACAGGTACTGAATATTAGAAAATATGTCAGTGTTCCAGGAAAAACATTAAAGTAAATAATCAGATAAGTAGGGTAGCATTCCATTTACAACAATGAACTCCAGTGATTTTTAATTTATTCATCTAGGTGTCCTTAAAAATAATTGATTATGGCCCTCCCTGGTGGCGCAGCGGGTTAAAGCACAGCACTGAGAATCTAAAGCCGCTTCCGCATGAATTCGATTCCCGCCTGCCCCGGAGGTGACCACATGGTGTGGCAGACCTCTCCTGACCTGCCAGCTGCTCCCCTCAGCAGTGTACTTCGTCGAATCTGCCTGTTCTGTTCCTCACTCTGTCTCTGGTGAAGCCTCTCGCCACCCCTGAACCTCTGGCCTGTACCCCAGTTCTGTATGCATAAATAAATAAATCTTTAAAAATTAATAATAATAATTGATTATAAAATCAGACATTACCCTATTGAAAACCAAATCTAATATGATGGATAGACCTAAGATTTTTAAAAAACAATGTTTTCAAAAATTGACAGTGGGCACTCCCTGGTGGTGCAACAGGTCAAAGAGCAGCACTAAGCCAGAAACAGCTTTAGCACCAGTTCAGTCCTTCAGCACCAGTTCCATCCCTGGCCAGGGAGGTGACCCTGGCACAGCAGACTTCTGTCTCGCCCGCTGCTCCCCTCAGCAATGTACTTCATCGATCTGCCTGTTCTACTCCCTCACTCTGTCTCTGGTGAATCCTCTCACCGCCCCTGCACCTCTGGCCTGTACCCCAGTTCTTATGCATAGATAGATCTTTTTTAAAAAATTGACAAAAAAGTGTTTTTGCAACAGAACACACATTTCTAAACTGTTTCTAAGAAGTATCACAGTAATCTTTTTTTTTAAAGATTTATTTATTTATGCATACAGAACTGGGGTACAGGCCAGAGATGCGGAGGGTGAGAGGATTCACCAGAGAGACAGAGTGGGGAGCAGAACAGGCAGATCGACGAAGTACACTGCTGAAGGGAGCAGCGGGCAGATCAGGAGAGGTCTGCCACTCCATGTGGTCACCTCTGGGGTAGGCGGGAATCGAACTCATGTGGAAGTGGCTTAAGCTTCTAAGTGCTGTGCTTTAACCCGCTGCGCCACCAGGGAGGGCCACAGTAATCTTTTTTTTAAGAGCCTAAATTATTCTCAGAGGAAAAAGGCATAAAACATCTTTACCAGCCTATATTTATCTTTGTTTACTAATGTGAAAGATCCAATATTAGGTTGTGAAACCTGAACAAACTTACAAGTTAAAGAACAGATTCCTAATTCTGTATGCACACAGTTAATAATTTAATTAGATTTATATTAAGGTCTTTTCTGACAGACACTGCTGGGAGCAAGGAAATGAAATTAAGTGTCTACATTCAAGATACTCACAGTCTAACGGGGAAGACTGACAGATAAATAATGACAATATCGATATATTAAATTCATCTCAATTTACCTGTGTTAAGCAGGAAAAGCTTAGTTGAGGAAGAAGTTATTGTTTGAACTAACAACTGAGAGTAGGAACCCTCAGGTGAAAGAGTGGGAGGAGTGAGAGATAAAGGAGTTACTCCAAGCAGAAGTCCCGCATTTGCAGACAGTTGAAGACAGTACAGAAAAATCAAGGAAGGCAGGTTATTCAGCAGGACTAGTGTAGGGAGGAGCTTGGGCAGAGAGGTAAGCCAGGAAGGAGACAGATTATAGAGGCCCTTATATACTATGTAAAATAGGTCAAAAGGTTCTCAAGTTTCAAGTTAGCATCTCTAGCAGCACTATATAAAGGATGGTTCAAGGAAGAGCAGTTAGGCAGAATTGTGAAAGCATTAAGTGCCTGAACAGTAGATATGATGGGAAGGGAGTTAGAATCTGCTTCTTAAAAATTATTGAAAGCCCTCCTTGGTGGCACAGCAGGTTAAAGCACAGCACTAAAAAAGCTAAAAGCCACTTCAGCATGAGTTCGATCCCTGCCCTGGAGGTGATCCACAAGGCCTGGCAGACCTCTTCTGGCCAGCCCACTGCAGCCCTGTGCAGTGTACTTTGTCAGTCAGCCTCTTCTGCTCCCCACTCTATCTCTGGTGAATATTCTCACTACCTCTGCACCTCTGGCCTGTACCCCAGTTCTGTATGCATAAATAAATAAATATTTTTTAAAAGAAAAAAAATAATCTGATAGATTCTTCTAGTTCACTGAGAATAAATGGTTACTTGTAGAAATGCTACCTTTTAAAAAAAACTTCATTTTTTAATTAAAAAAAGTAGTTATTGTAGAAATTCAGACAGTCCCAATACATAAGGTAAAAAGTGAATGTGTTCCCAGAAAGAACAATCCCAACTACCATGAAATAGCCATTGTTAAGGTTGTTGTTTATCTTTACAAAGTTTTCTCTATACATATACTTATAGTTTTAACATAAAAGGCACCTACAATATAAAACAACTATGTGTTGGTCTTTACCTTGTTTTTTACCTAACCATGGCTTGAAACCCTCTCCAAAAGTCACATCCAGGGCTCGCCTGGTAGTGGAAGGGGGTTAGAGGGCAGCACTATGAAGCTATCCGCAGCCACTGGAGCATGAGCTGGATTCCCCACCAGGGAGGTGACCCACATGGCACAGCAGACCACTCTTATCTCACCTGCTGCTCCCCTCAGCAGTGTAATTCAGTACATCTGCCTGTTCTTCTCCCCACTCAGGTCCTGTTGAATCCTCTCACCGCCCCCACCTCAGGCCTGTACCCCAGTTTTTGTATGCATAAATGAGTAAATCTTTTGAAAGAAAACCACATCCATTCTAATTCACTTCACCACACCTTTAAAATTTGTTTTTTTATTTTACTCATTGCCAATCTAATGAGAAATTTGTTTTATTTTTCAAATATTAACACAGAAATGGCTTCATTTTAAATTCATCCCAATTTGAAAGCACCTGAAATGTTTTTAAGAATGTGTATGCAAACAAGGGATCAGAAAAAGACAAAACTAACAGGCAAACTATAAATCAGAGACATTCAGCAGGGGAGGGATCAAAACCTGAGGGGAGAGCAGAGTCCATGGTAAAGGTTCACGTGTGTCTTGGTGGTGTTAGTTTTATGGGGACAATACCTGAGAGGAGAGATCAAACACTGTACAAAAAATGAACGAAGATGTAAAAATGTATAAATAAAATAAATAAATGAAGTGTGTACACACATTGCTCACAGAATGAACAGGAAACAACATAAGACTGGCCTGGGCTTTGTCTGCAACAGTTAACTATGAACTTAGGACTCAGTTTTCCTCAATAAAATTAGAGAGCATAAATAAAGCTAGTATTATTTTAAAGCTCTAAAGAGCATATGGGTCTCAGTCACAAATATTTCAATACACAGTGTTAAAACTCCTATGCTTGGATTGCATAATTGTGAGTAACGAACACTGTATTCTCTTCCATTTCCCAAAGGCAGTAAATTACACAATTAAACGTCTTAGTTTTGTTCATTTACATACACCAAACTGCTAGAACAGTGCATGGGACGCCTGATACTTGGCTGAAGATTGAAAATAATTTAACAGCTTCCCCTCAGCGAAAGTGCTCTGAATCAATGATTTGGACAATGTTATAAAACTGACATAGTCTCTCCAGTCAGTTTAATTTTCAAACTCCTGTAGTAAAAATACTACAAACTATATAGCTCTTTTACACCGACGAGGATGTCAACCTCAACTGACAGCAAAAAGACTCAGATATTCTACAACCTGGACCGAAAGTCAAACTTCCCCAGGCTCAAACAAGTGTCAAAATTCGTAGCTAGGTACATTCGCAGGCCTACACAACCCAGGTTGTCAACTACTACTCCTACGCGAAAACTTTTCAATCCCAGAAAAACAAAGTGTTAGTTTTTTTCTGTAGCGCAGCTCACAACTCCTAAATGGGCGGAATTTTGCGGCTACCAAAGACATAGACGGGGCCTGCAAAGGGGCTTGGGAAGAAGACAACAGTTCTTTTCAAGCCCCACAGAGAAAAAAAGCCCGAGTTGCTGGAGACGGCGTCCTCACCTCCTTTTTCCTTTGGGCAGAAGCCGAGGGAACTCCGTATATGAGCAGCAGCGCCACCATCATGGTCGCAGAGACACACCATAGCCCCCAACGTGCTGCCATGTTAGCTCCTCACACTCCGGCAAACGGAACTTTCCGGCGACCGAGTCTGAAGGTGGGGCGTGAGAACAAACAAATCGGCCCCTTGCCCATCCTCATTGGTCCCACTCAGCCCTTCCGGGCGACCCCTCACATGACGTCACGTCGCGCTACGGCTAATCGCCCGCTAAAAAACTGCTGACTTCTAATTGGCCTCTGTGAGCCAATAGGAAAAGGATAATCTGGAGGCTTTTCATTGGCTTGCTAAGGATGGTGGACCGCCCCTATTATGTGTCGACTGTATATAATAATACGGTAAAATGACGCACTAGCGGCTCTTCAAACGCGCGTGCGCAGTTGTATAGCGTTGCAGCTTCTCGAACTCCAAGATGGCATTAGGTTGTCAATACGGAGTCTTTCACACACTTGGTTACAAGTCTTCCAGATCAATGTCTTTCGTGTAATATTCTAGAAAAATGAGACCTAGCCACGATTTGACAGGAGCTAACTTAGTCACTCATTCTGTTAGGGGGAAAGGATGTCCTGAAGGGACTCCACCCCTTAACAATTCTACCGCCAAAATATTTCAAATCAAAAACTAGCACTGTAAGTTATATAAATAAATAAACCCCTAAAAACAAGTCTCAGATTTGTGGATTTAAAAAATCCAGCAAAAGCAAATGCCCTAAGTCAAAAACACACTTAATTTCAATGAGGGAGACATTCTTTATATATTTCCTTATTTTGTGTTGAGGTAACATTGGTTCACAATGTGTGTAAGATCTGCTCCTTCAGGTGTTACCACATGGCATCTACCGTCAAACACCCAAAGTCCACCTTCATAACAAGAAAACTTAAGAATTAAATGGGCAAGAACTTGTTGAATACTTCATGACCCAGAACTGAGATGTGCGCTGAAATGACATCAAAAATTATCTTTTAAAGATTTAAAAATTCATAACATTAAAAAAAAACATGTCTTCATGATTTAATAGTTAAGGCACCAACCTGGACGTAATTTTAATGTTATAGACAGCAAGTACCTCTTTATTATTATTTTGTTTGTAGATGGCACAAAACTAAGGTGGAAGGAAGCACTTCCCTCTTGTTATAGTTGTTTTCCATTACACATCCAATCTGCCTGTCTAAAACAGCAAAAATCCTACAGAGTTGAAATGTTTCTATTTACTTGGCCCAGTTCTGTTAATCATAGTGGCTTGGAAAACTGGGATAATTTATTTTTTTTATTTTTTAATTATTACAAAAGTTTATTTTTACATCATTTTGCACATTTTTTTCCCCATCTCGATTGTAATCCCCGCGGGTTTCCCATCACCAAATCACCCGTGTGCCACCACCATAGTCCCGTGCATTTCCCTTCCTCCCCCCCCCCGTTTTTGATCCCATTCCCCACTCCACCCCCACAAAATGTCTCTGGTATATGGTATATTATTTTTGTTATTTTCTCTCCTGGTCCATTATACTCCTGCTATGAGTGAAACTATCCGGTATTTTTCTTTCTCTTTCTGGCTTATCTCACTAAGCATGATCTTTTCCAGCTCCATCCAAGTTGCTGCAAAAGACATGTGTTTCTCTTTTTTGGTTGCTAGTAATATTCCATTGTATATATGTACCACATCTTTTTTTTTTTTAAAGATTTATTTATTTATGCATACAGAACTGGGGTACAGACCAGAGGCTCAGGGGCGGTGAGAGGCTTCAGCGGAGACAGAGTGGGGGACAGAACAGGCAGATGGACGAAGTACACTGCTGAGGGGAGCAGCGGGCGGGTCAGGAGAGGTCTGCCACGCCATGTGGTCTCCTCCCGGGCAGGTTGGAATCGAACTCATGTGGAAGTGGCTTTGGCTTCTCAGTGCTGTGCTTTAACCCGCTGCGCCACCAGGGAGGACCATGTACCACATCTTTTTTATCCAGTCATCTACTTTTGGGCATTTGGGCTGCTTCCATGTTTTTCCAATTGTAAATAAAGCAGCAATAAATATGGGGGTACAGGTATCTTTGGAAAACTGGGATAATTTTACCAGGAATAACAATATACTGGAGGTGAAATACCAACAAAAATAAAATCAATCTTCCTATAATTTGGATAACTTTTGATGAGGAGGAACATCATATGACTACTCTTTAGGTCCTACTGGAAAATATAAACACAGAGAAAATGCAATTTTGTTATGTCGAAGAGACAAGGAGATAGGTAAAGAAGGGGAAATAGCTGGTTCTGAAGTGATGAATTGAGAGATATAGAAACACAATTTGAAAATATTTATGGACACATAATAAGAAAAATATAAAATAAAATGCACTGAGATATGCTATAGGATTCTACCTGTGTCACATTCTGGTAAAGGCAAAACTCACAAGGATGGAAAAGAGAGCAGCGACTATCAGGTGTTGAAGGTGAGGAGGAGAAATCTACGAAGATGTCACACAAGATTTTTGTGGTGGTACAACTGTTCTTTCCTTAATATGGTGGTGATTACACACTATACATTTGTCAAAACTCAAATAACTGCGCAGCAAAAAAGTAATTTTTGCTGTGTTTAAATGTAACAGGCAAGAATTAAAGTAAAATTTAATTTTTCACAGAAATATCACCTATAATTTCAGCAAAAATTTAATACAGTAATCAAACCTGGAGGTATTTCTGTATATGGATATTATATGGGCACCTTCATATAATGCTACTGGGAATGCAAAACTTACAATAACTATGGAGGGTAATTTGACAATATCTAACAAAATTATATATGCATGTACCCATTTTTTAAAGGTTTATTCTTATTTATGCATACAAGAGCTGGGATGTAGGCCAGAGGTGTTGGAGGGGGATAAGAGGAGTCGCCAGACCTAGAATGGGGAGAAGGACAGGCAGATTGACTGAAATACTCTGCTGAGGGGAGCAGTGGGCAGGGCAGGAGAGGTCTGCTATGCCATGTGGATCAAACCCATGCTGCAGTGGCTATTGATTGCTGAATAGCACTGACTTTAACCCCTGCATGTATCCTTTAATCCAGCATCCCCACTGATAGTTATCTACTTCAACAATATGAATGTATATGTGCTTTATGTTACTAATTTCAGAACTAATTTGTAATAAAAATATACTCAAAAGCACCAAAATATCTAAACATAGGAGACTTATTGAATATACTAATATACATAAACACCATGGAGTATATTGTAGCTGTAAAAAATGGGGATGAAGAAAACACATGTAAAATAACATGTATTTTTGAGTATATATTGTTAAGTAAAAAATAAAACAATTTTAAAAAGAATGTGTGTCTAAGGCTACACTTGTATAAAATAGAAGAGGAAATAAAATAGAAAAATATTAGCCCATTTTTGCAAAAGGAAACAGAAAAATAAACCAGAAAATATTGAAATTGGTTACATGCATGAAGTTAAGAAAATGAAATGGAACACTTATGGAAGGGAATGATAATTCTAAGTATACCAGTTTGTATAGTTTTGGACTTTTGAAATAATTTTAATATTTTTAAATAATCAGTATCAAATCAGGACCCTCCCTGGTAGCACAACAGGTTAAAGCACAGCACTATGAAGCTAGCCACAGCCACTGCAGAATGAGTTTGATTCCCAACCAGGGAGCTGACCCACATGATGTGGCAGACCTCTCCTGACCAGCCCGCTGCTCCCTTCAGCAGTACTTTTCAGTTAATCTGCCGGTTTTGTTCCCCACTCTGTCTCTGGTGAATCCTTTCACCCCTTGTACCCCTTGCCTGTACCCCAGTTCTTGTATGCATAAATAAATAAATCTTTAATAATCAATATCAAATCAAAGCATTTAGTTTGCAAGATGAATAAAGTGCTAGAAATGGATGGTGATGAAAGTTGCATAACGATGTCAATTACTTAATGCCATTGAACTCTATACTTAAAATGGTTAAGATGGTAGGTTTTATGTATACTATACTACAATTTTAAAAATAAATTAAGATTAAAAATCAAATCAGTGAGAATAGTGAAAAAAATTGAAAACAAAGGTGTATTTCAAAAGGAAAAAATCAGCTCTTAGGGTTCAAGGTGCCTGGTTAGGCTCAGCCTTAGGTGAATAAATGGCCAAGTACAAGAACCAAACCACTCACAACCAATCCCCAAAATGGTGCAGAAATGGCTTCAAGAAACCCTGATCTCAGAGAAATGAATCTCTTAGGGGGTGGACCTCAAGTTCCTAAAGAACATGCACTTTGCCAACATGTACACGAAGGGCCTGAAGAAGATGCAGGCCAACAATACCAAGGCCATGAATGCATGTTCTGAGGTTATCAAGAGCCTTGCAATTCCTAACATGGTTGGGGCTAACACCCCAAAAATCAGCAGCTGGAAGCTAAGTTGACTTGTCTATGCATCTTAGCCCAAGTTTGGGAAATGTGTGTGTGCCTATGTGGCCAAAAATCTTAGGCTGCCCTCACCAAAGACAAAAGCTCAAACCCAGGCCAAGGACGTGACTCTAGCACAAGTTCCCAAAGGTACATAGGCTACCAAAGGTGCCCAGGGCCTCCCAAAGTCTCAAGGATTGAGAACCCTGCCCACACATTAGAGGATAGAACTAGTGTCACCCCTAGGCTGCTATATGCATGACTGCCTGAAGACAATGGCCCACATCACGAGGCAGCCAGGGACACCTTGGTAGCCTTTGACTGATGGAGTGGCCATGATCTGAGGTGGTTTGGGAGTAGCTCAGAAATTATACCAAGCAACTTCACAGGAAGTCCTCCCTGTATATGTGGCCAACCTGTTCCCTCCTGTTCCCCATCAAGTTGATTACGCTGTCTCCCTTGGGCCCTGCTCCTCCTGCCATTGTCACATAATCAACCATGCTTGTTTATTACTGCTAACAAATAGCAAGAGGGCTGCTCATTGAAGAACAGAATCTTGCCTTCCAAACCTGCTGTAGCACTCATCCCTCAGTGTGTCTCCAGGGCTCCTGACCCAATTGTTACTTTGATTATATTCTATTAAAATATAGGAAACAATTAATGTAATCCATCACATCAACGGACAGAAGAATAAAAACCACATAATCATATCAATAGATGCGGAGAAGGCTTT